TTCGGATTGGCGCAGCTCCGGCCGTTGCAGCCACTTGGGGAGTGAACCAACGGAAGGAAGACCTTTCTCTCTGTCTCTCTCTCTTACTCTGTCTGCAACTCTGACTTTCAAATAAATAAAATCTTAAAAAAAAAAAAAGTAAGCTGAACACAAGGATTATTATTGTTAAAAAGGATAAAAAATTAGAAATTATTTATTAGTAATAAAGATAAAAGTAGAAATCCATAGAGAATGAGAAAAAAATAGGTATAAAAATCAAAATTCTGATATTTTGGAAAAACTTAGCAAAATAGAGAAGTAACTATCAAAGAAAAATAAACATGAATCTATAAAATAAGAAAAGATGGAAATAATAATTTCAAGATAAATATTAAAATCATTAATAGAGTATCTTCTAGACATCTGGAAAATTTTAGAATTTAGATGAAATTCATAGTTTCAAAGAATACACTGCTTACCTAAATTGAACCCATTAAATAAAAAGCTTAAAGAAACCAATTTCCTCAGAAGAAACAGAGAAAATTATCAAGGAACTCTGTCACCACAAAGCACCAATCTCAGATGATTTCAAAGGAAAATTCTACCATATCATTCAAAAAGCAGGAAGTTAAAATGCTATGCCACGGTCCCTGACTTCTGAGGGGAATTAAATACACAGGGAAACACTCGTATCTATTCAACACCCTGGTTGCTGTACAGCCTGCTGACCAAGCCTCTTACATCATGAACTTTGCTCAACACAAAGGAGCTTTCTATCTGGCAAAACTAACCTCAAAATTAGCCATCTCAGGCCCTAAATCATATATTGGTTCCTGACTTCCCCCGTGGGACACAGTCAGTGCAGGCCTTCTCTTACTGTGTGCTAGTCTAACAAATAGCTTTTCCAGCCATTTCCGTGGAGTGGACAGTGGAGAGAAGGTCAAGACTGGAGAGTAGCTCAAAATGACGAAGACATACAGTGATGCAGGTTTTATTTTGTGCAGGGTGGTTAATGAGAAAATCAGTGTCACCATGCTGGAAGCAAAGAACACTGCATTTCTGGGGGCTGGCGCCATGGTGCACTAGGTTAATCCTCTGCCTGCGGCGCCCACATCCCATATGGGTGCCGGTTCTAGTCCCAGTTGCTCCTCTTCCACTCCAGCTCTCTGCTGTGGCCCGGGAAGCAGTGGAGGATGGCCCAAGTCCTTGGGTCCCCGCATCCATGTGGGAGACCAGGAGGAAGCACCTGGTTCCTGGCTTCGGATTGGCGCAGCTCCAGCCGTTGCAGCCATTTGGGGAGTGAACCAATGGAAGGAAGACCTTTCTCTCTGTCTCTCTGTCTCTGTCTCTGTCTCTTTCACTGTCTGTAACTCTGCCTGTCAAATAAATAAAATTAAATTAAAAAAAAAAAAAAAAAAAAGAACACTGCATTTCTAGAGAGCTGTCTGGGAGTCCTACCCAGACACACGACTCCTTGAGGCCTGGTGAGGCCAGGAGAGTCTACACAGAGGAAAGTACGGTGTTTCCTATGCTAATCCCACAAACAGGGACAGAAACCATCTGATTACCCGCATACCAGCTACAAGACAAGAGTCTAGCACACTGTGGGGAAGCCATCAGAAAACACTGTTGAGGAGAACATGGCATTCTTAGCGGGTGCATGTCAACACAGACATGTCAGAACCAGGTGAGAGCCCACACAGACTAAACCGTTATCTGACAGGATTTGAAGTAGGAAGTTAAAAACAGCAACGTTACAGAGAAGTGTTACCATCCATCTGGCTCCTCTCCCTCGACTGAGCAATAACCAACTCAAGCTGTAACCCTTATCAAATCCCAGCAGGTAATTAATTTATAACTGTCTTTATCTGACTAGATCAGTTACTTTACAACTGGAAAGGTAAGATGTCCATTTATTTCAAGATTCAATGACACACTTCTTAGCAAGTATCAGTGACAGCATCATTTCCCCAGGAAAACAAAACAACCCACCACCAACAGCAAATCAAATGTCTAAAACTCTATTTGTCTAGAAAATCATCCGTTTAAAATCTAGAAAAAATACTTGGATTTTGAGAAAACAGTAGATTCCACTTAGAAAAAGAGTAAGCCTTTCATCTTCACAGTATGAGATAATGTTAGAACATGGCACATTTTCAACATAAACAGAGAAACACATTTTAAAATTGTTTCTACCCTCCCCAGCCCCAACCCCAATAAGCATCTATTAGCATATTCTAGAAAGCAAAGCTTCTTCACACAAGTGTCCACCAGAAACAAGCACAACACCTATCCTCCGGTAGCAAGTGCTGAAAGAGAAGGGCGGTGAGGCAGCCGCAGAGGGAACCAGACACTGTGGAGGGAGGCGCTCTACAACTACTGGCATGCAGTGACCGTCAAGCAGGAGAGCGAGGTGGCAACACTGGAGAGAGCCGAGTGTTCCCAGCAGAAAACCCGACTTCCAGTTCATTTCACTAGGAACTCCCAGTGTCAACGAAGACGACCACCAGAAGAACTAAGGGTTGTTACAAAGGAAACTCTCAGGAACAAAGAGCAATTACAAATGCTAAGCTCTGTCTCAAACAATAAATCCATGTACACTAAACGAAACAATGTTTTCCTTAAAATTACTTTGTTCCATTATGTAATTTCATATTTAACTACTAATCACCCAGCAGCAGGGCTTATTTCATTATAACTCAAATACAGGGCACCTTCAGAACGGAGTCATTTTATCCTACACTGAAGAGTTTGGCTCTATACTACATATATATATGAGTGTTTCCAATTTCTGCAATCCTATGGCTTCCTTTGTCTGTTCGGGAAACTTGTCCAGCCTTTGTCTGGGTCTGTTGTTTGCTTGTTCCTTCACAGAACATCAATATTGTCACCAATATCATACCTCTCACAAAATGTAAAACAGTGGGAGTATTCTAGAAATTAGAAATTTTAAGTAACTCAGTCTTTGACATAACTCAAACAGTTTAAAATAATTCAAAGACAAAATATTTAATGAATCAGGATGGGTATTTCACACAGCAATTAAGATGCTGCTAGAAACACGTGCATCCTATACCAGAATACCTGGATTTGAGTCCCAACTCCACTTCTGATTCCAACTTCCTGCTGACATGTACCCTGAGAGACGGTCAAATGGTTGTGCCTCTAGCATCCATGCAGGAGATTCAGACTGAGTTCCCAGTTCCCAGCTTTACCCTGCTTCACCCCTGGCTTCTGAGGAGTGAACCAGCAGACAGGAAATCTCTGTCTCTGCCTGCTTCTCAAAAATTTAAACATTAAAACAATATATAGGGCCAGCACTGTGGTGCAACAGGTTAACGCCCTGGCTTGAAGTGCCGGCATCCCATATGGGTGCCAGTTCAAGACCCAGCTGCTCCAATTCCGATCCAGCTCTCTGCTATGGCCTGGGAAAGCAATAGAAGATGGCCCAAGTCCTTGGGCCCCTACACCCACGTGGAGGACCCAGAATAAACTCCTGGCTCCTGGCTTTGGATCAGCGCAGCTCAGACCATTGCAGCCAATTGGGGAGTGAGCCATCAGATGGAAGATCTCTCTCTCTCTCTCTGCCTCTCCTCTCTCTGTGTAACTCTTTCAAATAAATAAATAAAATCTTAAAATATATATATATAAAGGGAGAGAGATCTTTAAAGATTTTTTATTTATTTGAATGGCATAGTTAAAGGAGGAGAGACAGACACAGACACAGACACAGACACAGACACAGACACACACACACACACACACACACACACACATCCTCCACCCGCTGGTTCACTCCCCAAATGGCCGAAACCAGGAGCCTGGAGCTTCTTCTTGGTCTCCCATGTGGATGTAGGGGCACAAGGACCTGGGCCATCCTCCACTGCTTTCCCAGGAGTATTAGCAGGGAGCTGGACTGGAAGTGGAGCAGCTGGGTCTCAAACTGACACCCATATGGGATGCAGGTATTGTAGGTGAGGCTTAACCTGCTATGCCACAACACTGGGCCCCAAAACAATATTTATTTTAATGAGTCAAATAAAGATTGTCCTGAATTCTTCTTCCATAATAAATAGACACTAAAGAATATCAAAGAGCCAACTTACAGTTACACATGTAAGATGTATTTCACTCAACTCCATCAGTGACAACATTTTAGTTGTATCATAGGTAAGAGAGTACTTCAAAAAGTTCACATAAAATGAAATTAAAAAACACGCTTATTTTTGTGTGAAAACTCTGAAATCCATTCATGGGTTCTCTGTAACACATTTTTCCACAAACCTTTTGAAGTACCCTCATTGAGGGTCCTTCTAATATGTATTTTCTAGGACAATTCTAAAATTAAACTTTTTGCCCTAATATATCCATAGATGTACTTTTCAAACTACAGATATATCTAATTTTGATGGAGATGATGATAAGGTTTTATTATCAGCCAAAATCAGTCCAGCTTTATACAAACATGACTCTCATGTTTTAATTTGTGACAAATAAACATTTATATTATATACAGCCTTATATTTGGCTGGCTTGAGAAAGGGAAATACATTTTACTCAGCAAATTTTTCAAAGTTCAGGTTTATTTTCTATTACTGAAAAACAGACACAGGAGCAAGTTGAAAGATCCACCTTCTCCCTCTCCCCCCCAAAAAAGTGAGGTAAAATGAATATCATTTTAGTTAGAAGCCACAGGATTACATTACCTGGGCCCTTATAGGAAAAAAAAAAAAAAGGACCTCTAGCCTACACTTTCTAAGAGAGAACACAGATGTGTTCACAGTAGTGCTACATTCAATAACCTTAATTTACGGGATGCATGATTTGACATAAACCGTTCAAAGTGCCCTTTATTTGAGTTCTAAAATATTTAGATTTAGATTTAGTTTTGGCATTCACCGAGGTTTCCCATGTACAAACCATTCCGTGGAAAGAAGCTGTGAGGTTAGCTTTAGATTAGCAAAGACTATTCCCATCAGATTTGCTTGCTGTCTTATTTTCTTAGATTGCTGTAAAATTACCATTTCGGAGTCACTGTGAGAGGCCTGCCCCAGGCTGGATGCAGACCCTAGCTCAGAGTGAGAAGCTTGGTCAAGGGAGAGAAGGGGCTCAATAATGTCATCGAAATCATCTTCCTCTGTATCCCCCTCCCCATCGGCAAAAGTACCTCTAGTCAAGAAATCGGAGCGCGTCCGCGCCATTCGAGCTTTCTTTTTATGGGCCGGTCTGGCAACCTGCTTGACCAAATGATAAAACAAATAACACAACAAAGTTTTGTTTTGTCTTGTTTTTTTTGGGAGATGATGCCCATGAAAGACATCAGGGGTCTCACAAACGTCTTGACACCCCCACCCCCACCATGCCCTTTCCAGTGGCAGAAGTGACAGGAATGACACAAGAGTCCACGTACATTACTACGGACAAGAGATGAGAACGGAAGCTGAATGTACTCTACTCTGCTCCACAGCCAACAGTCAGACTTTGCTGCTAGGACAGGTCACAACACTCACTAGCATGAACTACCTCCTTTTCCCCAGTAACTTCTTTTTTCTATAAATCTAGTTTTCAGACACTACTCCCTGCCTGTAGTACACCTTCCTAAGTATAACAGCCTTGGCTCATGGCTTTTTTTTCTAGAACACTTGGTAGTAAGTGGGCAGATGAGGTGTTCTACCTACAAGAATAATTTCTAAAATATCATGCATCTATTTCACACAAAACATCCATCAAGAAGGTCCCATGCTTACCTCTCCTTGGCCAGGCCCAGTTAACTTCACAGGTTTCCAAGTTGGTTCCTCTTTCCTATGTACGTGAGGGTTTTCACTGTTTAAGGCTTCTCTGTTGACACTTCAGGTAAAACAAAAGGATTACACTTCAATTCCTAGCAAATGTTCTAGGGCAGCAGTCTCAAAGTATAGCATGAATAAAGTTTTTTTTTTTTTTAAAGACTGATTTATTTATTTGAAAGTCAGAGTTACAAAGAGAGAGAGGAGAGGCAGAATAGAGAGGCCTTCCATCCACTGGTTCACTCCCCAGTTGGCCACACTGGCCAGACCTGCGCCAATCCAAAGCCAGAAGCCAGGAGCTTCTTCCAGGTCTCCTACGCAGGTGCAGGGGCCCAAGCACCTGGGCCATCTTCTACTGCTTTCCCAGGCCATAGCAGAGAGCTGGATCAGAAGTGGAGCAGCTGGAACTAGAACCAGCGCCCATATGGGATGCTGGCGCTGCAAGCAGTGGCTTTACCCATTAGGCCACAACGCTGGCTCCATCAACCAAGTTCTAACAAGCGAGGTCAAATACTTCTTAAAAATTCTGTATATATTCCCAAATCTGTCAATTCTTAAAATTGTATATTAGAAGGCCAGCGCTATGGCATAGTGGTAAAGCGCCAGCCTCCCATAAGGGCACCAGTTTAAGTCCTGGCTGCTCCTCTTCAGATCCAGCTCTCTGCTATGGCTTGGGAAAGCAGAAGATGGCCCAAGTCCTTGGGCCCTGCACCCGTGTGGGAGACCCGGAAGAAGCTCCTAGCTTCTGGCTTCAGATCAGCATAGCTCCAGCCATTGTAGCCATCTGGGGAGTGAACCAGTGGATGGAAGAACTCTCTCTCTCTGTCTACCCCTATCTCTCTGTAACTCTGCCTCTCAAATAAATAAATAAATAAATAAATCTTTAAAAAAAGAAAAATAAACTGTTTGATTTCTTCCTGTTTACCAATTAATACTATTTTCAAGAATCTCTGTGATGACTGACCTCCTGGAGATCCTCCCTTAATCATCAGGTATATTTTACTCTGATGATGTGGTTCAAAATAGCAAAATTAGCTCAAAGATGGAAGTGGATTTAGTAATGAGAAAAGGAAAATACCGGATCCTCAAATCCTAACAAGATGAGTCTCAGAAGCGGCCTTTTCTTCCAATTGTTATAAAACAGCTAATAAGCAGGCCGGCGCCGTGGCTCAATAGGCTAATCCTCCGCCTTGTGGCGCCGGCACACCGGGTTCTAGTCCCGGTCAGGGCACCGGATTCTGTCCCGGTTGCTCCTCTTCCAGGCCAGCTCTCTGCTGTGGGCAGGAAGTGCAGTGGAGGATGGCCCAGGTGCTTGGGCCCTGCACCCGCATGGGAGACCAGGAAAAGCACCTGGCTCCTGCCATCGGATCAGCACGGTGCGCCGGCCGCAGCGCGGCGGCCATTGGAGGGTGAACCAACGGCAAAGGAAGACCTTTCTCTCTGTCTCTCTCTCTCACTGTCCACTCTGTCAAAAAAAAAAAAAAAAAAAGAAAAGAAAAAAAAAATCTAGTAAGCAGCCATCCAGGAAGGAAGGACCTTACTAGTGCGGTAGCTCCGATTAGTTACAAAATTCTCTTCATGAATCTCTCTCTGTAGCGTTCCTTAACTATTTTAATTTAAAACTTGAGATTATATATAACAAAATCAGTAGCAGCAAGATAAAAGATTATTATCAGGGCCAGCATTGTGGCATAGCATGTAAAGCTGCCACTTGGAATGCCAGCATCCCGTATGAGTGCCAGTTCACGTTCCAGGTGCTCCACTTCTGATGCAGCTCTCTGCTAACAGCCTAGGAAAGCAGCAGAAGAGAGCCCAAGTGTTTGGTCCCCTGCACCCATGTGGGAGACCTGGAAGAAGATCCTGGCTCCTGGCTCTGGCCTGGCCCAGTCTGGCTACTGCGAACCAGTAGGTAGAAGAGCTCTCTCTCTCTCTCTCTGTAACTCTGACTTTCCAACAAATAAATCTTTTTAAAAAATTATTATCAAGCAAAAAGATGCCCCAAACCATACAGATGTTATGGGCTGGGGAAAATTTGATTTCATCTGAACAGCTAGATTATGTGACTGCTTTATCATTAAATTCTGTGAAGAAATGGATATTTGAACAAAAAAATCAGAATAGAAACTGCATTTTATAGCCCAGTTACCTGTATCAGAAATCATCTTTCATTGCTACAACAGGTCCCTACAGTATCTGCATGAATCGCCATTTTTCCTCAGCAACTTTCCTTTTCTAAATAGAATCTGGAATCCCAGACAGCACTCAGCCTGGAGCGCACGTTCCTAAGCATGACAGGGCTTCGCTCCTGGCTTTTACTTCGAGCACGAGAGCGTGAGATGCAGTGCTCTACCTGTAGCAATTGTAATTTACCAAGGCCAATCTCCCTTCAGCAGGGCGGCATGCTCCTTACACCCCAGCAGGACAGTGGCTCAAGGAAGATACTAACTTGTAATACTAGCTGGCAAATTACTCTTCCTCTCAGATTCTTACGTTTAGTTTTTATAAATCAAAGTCCAGGAGGTAGACGGAGTTATCTTGAACTTCACCCCCATGCAACAATCTTTAAAGAAACACAAATAGAGGGTGATCTCTGAGCTAAAGGCTGCTCAGAGAGTTCCCTTTCGTCCAGGGTAGGACAAGCCTGGCCTGGCAATCCAGCTTGTTCACAAGCATTCCTTGCTGGCCAGGAGAATCCCTCTTGCCACAGCTGAGCCTACTGACCTGTCTCCAAAGAAAGATACAGCAATTAATGGTACCTCTAATAACTTCAACAAACTTCAAAACTTATGACATTTTCCTTACTCTTTTCTATGATTTCTTTTTCATTCTCTCTCATAAAATAGATATAAAACAACTATGTACTTATCACCACTATGGTACAGATAGAACGTTAGTCTTGTGTCACTTCCTATTTAGGAAATAAAATGTTGACACTAATTATGAAATTCAAATTCTAGTCTACACTGTTTCTCTAAGTATGTGACCCTGATATGTCATTTCACCTCTGGGGCCCTAGTGACCCCACCTATAATATGTGGGAACTGGACTAGACAACTTGGAAGCACCAACATTTATGATTCTACAGAATGCTTATATATATATATATATATTTTTTTTTTTTTCTTTGACAGGCAGAGTGGACAGTGAGAGAGAGAGACAGAGAGAAAGGTCTTCCTTTGCCGTTGGTTCACCCTCCAATGGCCGCCGCGCTGCGGCCGGCGCACCGCACTGATCCGATGGCAGGAGCTAGGAGCCAGGTGCCTTTCCTAGTCTGCCATGTGGTGCAGGGCCTATGCACGTGGGCCATCCTCCACTGCACTCCCGGGCCACAGCAGAGAGCTAGCCTAGAAGAGAGGCAACCGGGACAGAATCCGGCGCCCCAACCGGGACTAGAACCCGGTGTGCCGGCGCCACAAGGCGGAGGATTAGCCTAGTGAGCCATGGCGCCGGCTGAATGCTTATATTTCTAGTATCACTTACATAACAGGACAACAGTTAAAGCACAAACTTTATCTGTAGGCTTTTACTTAAATGATCTAATGTACAATAATTTTGAAGGTTTGTAGATCATAAGCAAGGTAAAGCAAACTTCTATTCTGGGAAAATAAAAAGGGAGTAATGCACAAGGATGACCAATGGTTTTTGGAATCTACAACTAGGTCTTTCACAAAACAGACTCATAGATCCAGTAACTGCTTTTCTGTATATCTGCATACACAACGCATATCACTAACTTAATCAGAATGAAGGGAATTGTGCTTAAGGTTGAATTTCTGGCCGGCGCCGCGGCTCACTTGGCTAATCCTCTGCCTGCGGCACCGGCACCCCAGGTTCTAGTCTCGGTTGGGGCACCAGTTCTGTCCTGGTTGCTCCTCTTCCAGTCCAGCTCTCTGCTGTGGCCCAGGAGGGCAGCGGAGGATGGCCCAAGTGCTTGGGTCTCTGCACCCACATAGGAGACCAGGAGAAAGCACCGGGCTCCTGGCTTTGGATTGGTGCAGTGCCGGCCATGGCGGCCATTAGAGGAGTGAACCAATAGAAGGAAGACCTTTCTCTCTGTTTCTCTAACTCTCTCTCTGTCTCTCTCTCTCTAACTCTGCTTGTCAAAATAAAAATAAAAATAAAATAAAATAAAATAAAAAAGGTTGAATTTCTGAGCAACCTCCAGGATAAAGGGCAGGAAGGGGACCTCAAGTCATCAGTAAGTTCAACTGCATTTCTTACTATTGTAAAAACCTTCAATATAAAGACAAAATATCGACGGTCTCTTGCCTATGTTTGCAAAAGGCTTCCATTAAGTCTGTGCGCAATTTTAAAGCCTGAAATATGTAAATGCTCAGGCTATGAGGAGAAAAAATGCATCTTCATTGTTAATGTGAAATACAATTTTTTTTAGTCCAAAGAAAAAGCATATTAAATTTTATCAAATTTTCTTTTGTAAATCACTCCAAAAATGCTTTTCTGAGTCAAGCATCTGGCACAGCAGTTAAGATACCACTTGGAATACCCACACATAGGCACTCCATATTGGATGACTTTGTTCTTAGCTTCTTGCTAATGTGCACCCTGAGAGACAGCAGATCTTGGGTCTCCACTGCCCATACTGGATAGTGAGATGGAGTTCCCGGCTCCTGGCTATGGCCTGGCCCAACCCTGGCTATTGTAGGTATTTGGGGACTAAACTAGCAGATGGATCTCTGTGTGTCTCTCTGCCACTCAAATAAGATATGAAGATTTTAAAATGCTATTCTCTGACTACTACTAGTTTAAAAATATTTAAAAAATAGAAAGTCCACATTTATAAGGTATTTAAAGTAGTCCAACTCTTAGAAGGCAGAACGGTAGTTAACAGGGGTTGGAGAGAGGGCAAAAGACAGTTGTTCAATGGGTAGTTCTCAGACAGCTACTGGACAGCAACGAGCACACAGTTAATGCTTCTGTGGTCTGCACTTGAAGATAGCTAATTCAGGGGCTGGCATTGTGATACAGTGGGTTAAGCTGCTGCCTGAAATGCCATTAACCCATATGAGTACCAGTTCGAGTTTCAGCTGCTTCACTTCTGATCCAGCTCCCTGCTAATGTGCCTGGCTGGGAAAGCAACTGAAGGTGGCCCCAGTAACTTGGGCTCCTGTCACCCATGTGGGAGACTCTGATGAAGCTCCTGGCTTCAGCCTGGCCCAGCCCTGAGCACTGTAGCCATTTGGGGAATGAACCAGCAGATGGAGGCGCTCTCTCTCTCTCTCTGTCTATATATAAATCTGCCTTTCAAATAGATAAATAAATCTTTAAAAATAAAAGAGCTAATTTTGTACCTGTATGTTTATAACAGAAAAGTATAAAGAAAACAATAAAGAGCCACCAGCAGTGACGCAAGCAAGCTAGACGTGCCACCTCAGAGCTCTGAGACAACCAGCGCTTGCTGAAGGCCTCCCCTACTCAAAGGCACTCACGGCCCTTCATAAATGCTTGTTCAATATCATGGGAAGGAATCAAACACTCTAGCATCTAGGCCTCGTCAACGATTCTTATGGTAAAATTGTAGCCGATTTCCAGTGGTGGGTAGAAACAATGAGGAGAAATGCCTAAGTTGAGGGGCATACACGCAGAAAGTGCAGCAGAGTCAGGCATCTTAATAAACTCAGCTGTTTCCATCCACACATGAAAGTAAACACACACTCCACTCACAGGGGCATATTCACACTGTCCTTCGGTGTAAAGAAAATGGCCCTGGTGGTTCCCTCTCTGGAAGGGTCATCAGACGTGTGGCCAGAAGACGGAGTCGGCCTAAGGTGCTCTCTTTTTGAAACGCGATTATTGGAGGGTTTACAGGCTATACTTTGTTGGGTGCCCATTCTGTCTGTCTGAGATGATTCCGTGACACCACCAGATTGGCACTGGGCTCCTTTTCTTTCAAAGAACAGAGTCACAGGTCTGTCCTTCGAGGCTAGGTGAGCAGAGCAACTGTCTTTTGGGGCAAGAGCTGTATCTTTTACAGTTACTGATGGGGATCCTCCTGCACCAGGTTCTCCCTTATTTGGGACATTTGGGATGAGTAGGGAGGACGGCCTCTCCGTTCTTTGCTTGGAAAGACAGAAAGACGGGGCCAGGAAGGACTCTCCAGTTCTTGGCTTCTCCAAGGTCTGGAAGGCTTTACGCTCCTTCTCTAGGATATTTGTCTGTTGGCGGATCTGCTCCATCATCTCTTTCTCATTCTGCTGCTGCAACTGCTTTTGCCTTTCTTCCTTCTCCGAGTTCAGCTTTTCTAACTTCTTAAGCACAGTACTGGCAGATTCTGTCTTCACAAAAGGAGTAATGTGCTCTTCTCCTGAGAAGCGATGCTTTTCAGCTTCCCTGCTGACGTCGAAAGGAAGAACTGTCCCCTGCGTGTCTTCACTTTTTAACACTTTGTTTCTTTGGGTGCTTGTGTCTACTTGGGAACTTGTTTTTAGTGGGTCTTGATGGGGAATATAAAAAAAAGTAGGCAGACTACTGGAAATAAACAGGTCTCTCGGCTGTGGCTTGCAGGTAACAGGTTCAGAGCGGCAGACCGGCTTCTCCTCCCCAGAGTCACCCTGCGAGGGCGCTGAGTCTACAGGCACTCCCTTGTGAAGAGACACACGGCTCAGCTCACTGGAGGTGCTGCGGGTGTAGTCCTGTGTGTCAGCTTTTGGACTGCTAGATACTGCAGGTGCTGGAATCTGCAGATCTCCTCCATCTACAATCACAGACTCTGGTTTGCCTTTCTGGGTTTCCTCACAGCTCAGAAGCTCCAAGCTTCCTTGAGAGCTTTCACTATCAGGTGTGCCCTGCAGAGAGGGCAGGCCTTCAGGCACCAACTCCGTAGACCACCTGCGCTCCTCGGAAGGAGACACACCTCCCAGAGAACGGACTTTCAGCAATTCCAGGCTAAATATAGCTTGCTCTAGTTCTCTCATTCTCCGACTCTCTCTTTTGGCCCGGCCTGCTTTCTTCTGATGCAGGTCCTCCAAGGACTTGGGCCGTTCTCTTACCACCACGTCTCCCTGCAAGTCCACACCACTCTGGCTTCTGGCTCTCTCCTGCCGCATGTTTGGGGACTCCCTGGAGCAGTCCACTGAGCCTTCACGGCGGGGGCGATTCCTCTCTACCACAGACTTACATTCCTCTACGGCTTTCACTCTGCTGTCAAAGGAGCAATCCTCCCAGCTGGAAGGGTCTGAGCCCTGAATTTCCAGAGCTCCATATGCCCTTGTGCTCACCAATCCAAGTTCTAGCTTTGCTTCTTTAAGTTTCTGCTCTTTTAACGCTTTGAATCTGTAGAAAAACAGAATGGGTCAGAAATGACTCTTGGTTGATACCGGAAAGGATGTGCGTACTGAGAACTCAGGGAACATGGAAAGGTACAAAATCTTCTACTCACAACATCCAAGTATTTCTTAAACAAACTTGATCACACATTTTAAATTCTCTTATTTCCATTAATCAGATGATACTTTCATTAAGTGTCTTATTCCTAACTGGGCATTCTAGTCAAAACATAAACTCCAAAGTAAAATTCTCATTTTAATAATATCTTTAAAGTAAGCGTTAAATATGAATTTAAAGTTTTTGAAGATATAAATAGTGGATATTATAAAAAAACTTAAAAAAAAGATTAAGCCTAACACAAATATAGTAAGAATTGTTAACACTTAGCAATTATAACCATAGACCATGTAGGTCTTCAATCCAATTTAACACAACACTTAACTTCTATTGTAGACAAGATACAGCAGGTTAAAAACTGATAGGAATATCGTAGTATAGCAAAGGAAACACATTATACATAATCAATTGTAAAACAAATCTTGGCCAGCGCCGCGGCTCAATAGGCTAATCCTGCACCTCGCAGTGCCTGCACACTGGGTTCTAGTTCCAGTCGGGACACCGGATTCTGTTCCGGTTGCCCCTCTTCCAGGCCAGCTCTCTGCTGTGGCCCGGGAGTGCAGTGGAGGATGGCCCAGGTGCTTGGGCCCTGCACCCGAATGGGAGACCGGGAGAAGCACCTGGCTCCCAGCTTCAGATCAGTGCAACGCGCCGGCCGCAGCAGCCATTGGAGGGTGAACCAACGGCAAAGGAAGACCTTTCTCTCTGTCTCTCTCTCACTGTCCACTCTGCCTGTCAAAAAAAAAAAAAAAAAATCTTAAGGCACAGATGAGGTTACCTCTGCCTTGCTCTGAATCCTCTACATGTTGACTGCAGGAGGATAATTTTGCTCCTCTGCTCTTGGTACTGCTTGCTTTGCCTGTAACCTCTCCACCTCGCCTGTATGCACACAGCGGCCCTGTGTCTGCGTCTCCGGTGCTCCCTCCACCACTGCTGGATGACCACGGCTGCAGCTCGCAGCTCTAAGTAGCGCTGCCGCTCCGAATGCGCACGCCAGGAAGCCTGCAGACGAGCAGCCGCACTGGCCAAAGCCGCAGCATCTTCCAGCAAAGCTTCACCCCGCGCCTGCTTCTGAGTGAGGCAACTCCTCCAGAAACGCTGTGGGCAAGACACAAGAACAGAAACTGGCCATCATTCCTTATCCTACACTTTCACAGGAAAAGGAAAAAGGATTACATTTTTTATGCCATGATTAGAGGTTATATGGCTAAGTAGCTAAATGGGTGAAGACTAAACACAAGTTTTCCAGATACACTGGGTTCAAACAACCACTTTAAATAACATGAGTACAACCTTGATGGAACTAAGAATTTAAAATTTAGTGGTGCTTTCATGCTGCACAAGTTAATTTTAACAAATTATATACTATTCTCTTGCTACAATTTGCCCAAATAACATTAACAGGCATAAGGTAACAGAAAACTGTCTTGTACAAACAGAAAAGTCATATGGAGAACACCAATATCCACTGACATAGATCAGTGAGGGAGATAATAAAAGATATAAATATATAAATGTGAAATAAGGTGCCTATCATCCAAAATGGGTGCTTATCAACAACACCATGCACTGACTGACACATGACTCAGACAACTGATGAAAAGAACATCAACAAAGACAAAGGCACATGGCTCCTTTACCCTACTGCTCATGCCTCTCATGACACTGCAACTGCAAATTCAATTCTATCCCGGTTCAACACAATCAATATGAACAGCTCACCAGCACATGCCAGGCAGGCTGCTGAATGGCCACCTCTGTAGCTGTCAGTAATTAAGTGCTTCGCATGAGAACAGTCTGGTTCCTAGACAAAGGAGTCCACCTTGAACCAGGAAGTCTCTGCTTCTCACCTGGATAATGATGGATGCGTGTCTCAGGCGGAGGAAGTGCTGCCTACACAGCGAGGCCCGGAGCCAGCGCTGCAGAAGCACGATCCTGCGCAGCACCTCCTGGTGAAGCAGGTCTTGTAGGTGCTGTCGCTCCTGCTCCTTTAGGAAGACCTACCAGGAAGAAGGAAGACGAGGGATGCAGTTTAACAAAAAAAGCGGAATTTACTTCATGAGTCCTCGTTGTCATACGCTGTAGAGGCAAATTACAGTGGCAAAAGTATAAACCAAGAACTGGCAAATACTTCTATCAGTTTAGCCAACATAGTTATTCTCAAACTGAAAAGGAGACATTGGAATATGGAAAAGGACATAGGATGGTCAGCAAGAGTACAAAAATTCTAGTGCCAGAGATTACGCATTGCTCCCTTGGGACAATCACTGCCATAAGCAGTCAATGTACTCCTGCTCCTACTACATTTTCTTTCTTTCTTTTTTTTCTTTTTTTAACTTATTTGACAGGTAGAGTTAGACAGTGAGAGAGAGAGACAGAGAGAAAGGTCTTCCTTCTGTTGGTTTACCCCCCAAATGGCCGCTACAGCCAGCGCTGTGCCGATCCAAAGCCAGGAGCCAGGTGTTTCCTCCTGGTCTCCCATGCAGGTGCAGGGCCCAAGCACTTGGGCCATCCTCCACTGCCTTCCCGGGCCACAGCAGAGAGCTGGACTAGAAGAGGAGCAACCGGGACTAGAACCCAGCACCCATATAGGATTCTGGAGCCGCAGGCGGAGGATTAGCCAAGTGAGCCACGGCACCAGCTCCCTACTACATTTTTTTTTTTTTAAGACTTATTTATGTAAACATTTTGGGCCATGTTCTATTGCTTTTCCCAGGCCATTAGCTAGGAGCTGGATTGGAAGTGGAGCAGCCAGGACACAAACCAACGCCCAAATGGGATGCCAGTGTCATAGGCAGTGGCTTTACCCACTACACCACAATGTTGGTCCCAATATATTGTCCAATTTTTCCAGGGTTTTGAAGTGGGGGAAGAGTTGAGAACTACAGATCTTGAAGGCTGATATAACATTGGGCAAGCCAATGATAACATCTCTCTCTGAAATCCAGCATGCATCTTTTTCCCCAAAGTTATTACTCAAATAAAAATTATTTATTTACTCCTTCGTTCCACAAATAAATCCTCAGGGATATGGAAGAATACAAAGATAAACTGGAACTATCCCTTTGGAAATAATATTTTTACCCAAGAAGGAAAACAGTAATCCAGCAAGGGCAAGAGAGAGAAGATCCCTAGTGAGGACAAGGAGCTGGGAACAGTTACCAGGGCACACGCAGGAGAGGAGGGAACAATACATTTGCATAAAGAAGATAACAATGTGAAGCCACAACATGGAGGTTCATGAAACACAGAAAGAGGTTTGAATATATTTAGGAGGCTACCAGGACATTATTAGTGAGCAGGAGGCCAACAAAAAGAAAGAAGTATGTGAAGATGATTTTAATATTATTGAGGGAGCCTGGGACTAGAAGCAGGCCAGACTGGCTCCATCCTGCAGCTTCCTCCCATCATCTACACAGTAAATGACCCCCGGCATTCACAGTAACAAATGTATAACCACTACCTATGTTCCTTGGAGATAACGTGATAAAGACAAATATCTCTAGACTTGGTCTCTGTCTTACTAATCTGATTGTCCTCTTTGGAACTTCTCTTTTTCTTACTTAAATAAAACTATTCTTCTCTCACAGTTGTGTCTGGTCTTGTAAATCGTCCTTAACACCAGGACCCAAACTCAGAATCTTCTCACCAGGTTTCCCGTAACATAATGGATAGAAAAAGGGTAACAGATTGACAAATATAACAGAATAAAATGAGCAGACTTCACTGTAAGAGCAGCGCAGATGGAATAACTAAGGAATAAAGACAAAGTAGAAGCAGCAGACATGGAAAAACGGGGAGAAATGTGAAAATTATTTTTAAGGGTGGGAGGAGAGAAGAAACAAAATTTTGTAAAAAGATTAAAGAATAAGCCAAAAATGATTATACAGCTCCTAGTATGAGGCACGGGAAGGGTGACAGAAAAGGAAAGTAGCTGATAAACCAAGGGCAGCAGGAGAGCCCGGACTGCGCCACTCTGTGCCAGGTAACCTGGAGATCACCGGAGAACGTGTGCAGCTGAAATTTCAGTCAGAGCTAGAGCACTGGTCAGGAGTTCTGTGATCAACACTGACTGCATCATCAAATCAAAGCTCTGCTCGCATCAACATCCTTCTGATGTCTGATATCATTTCTATAAACCTCCTCATAAGAAAGATTAACATCATTCTCATTTAAGTTTAAAAACTGAAATTAATTTTGACAAAGGTTGTATATATTATATTTACCATGGTTTTTCCAACTTGATAATTATCTGGATTAAGATTTATTTTCCTGAAGAAATCCTGAATGTTAAATTTTGATGGATTAATATTTCGGGGAAGAAGCACGTGGAAGTGGCTCACAAAATCCTGAAAAATGAAACAAACCATTGCAAAATCGCATACAAACAAGTTCTTAAACTAATTACCTTTTCATTAATTTTTCTTATTCTTTTAAACAGGATGAAACCTGTGCTTATTAATTAAATATTATAAAAGGTTAGTTTGAAAAACATAAAAGGGGGGAGATGTTGACTTTGATATTATGTTATCAAAAAGGAAAAAGAAGGGTAGAAACTAACACCAAAAAAAGTTATTTAACAAAACCCTGAGAGGTCTGGCAGGGAGGAAACAAAAGCCAACATGGCAGCTGTCAGAGGCACGCCTGGGCTTGACACTGCCTTTCCCACCAACAGCACAGACTGGCCGGCTGCTGGGAGGCAGCACTGTTACTCTGCACCCACAGCAGCAGCTGAAAGGAACAGCCACGAGGCCTCACTGCAGCTTGCTACGAGACAGCTTTGGAGCATTCTGATTGAACTAATTCAATTACTGGAGAATTGCTGGTATTAGCAAACATTCTGCTCCATTGAGAACAGCCAAGAATGGCGTCCTATTACAACATACGCTTCATGAGGCTGCTATATTCAGTGGGAGAGAACCTTTCAACTCTGCATAGAAAAGGTGTTTCTGGAAAAGAATAATAGTGGGAAATAAAGAAGTAAGCCCCAAAGAAACAATAAACACGACACATGGGACTAATGTATGTGAGGTGCATATATTGAACTATTATTCTAAAAGCATAACCTGGAAAGAATATTTGCAGCTGTATCCTGACTGACGGATTCGGACTGTCTCCAACATCCCAGTGTATCGAAGCTGTCTGAGTACCAAGGCATCACTGAATCTTAAGGGCAACTAAAACAAAGAAAATGAAAAAAAGGATTACTTTCAAATAACAGATTTCCAAATTAATATGTCTTACAAGAATGGCTTAACTGAATTATCTAGGGACTGAAGGTTGTCTGCTTAGCTAGGGTGATGGGACAAGCTCACTTGCCAGGTGGTAGCTTCAGGGAAGTTCTGAACGCCCCAGCCTAGGGAGACAAGGGAAAGCCAGCAGCCTCTAGGCCTCTCTGCTTGTGAAGGGAAAGGACTCTGAGACACTCAAAAGGAGCAGGGTTGCCCTGAGAGCCACACAGCCCAGTCCCTACAAACCTGTAACAAGGTTAACCCGCTTGCACACAGAAGAATGGTCTACATGTTTGTATGTCATGATGATGCTATCTATACTCTCACTAAGGAACCATCTGTCCCACTCCTGCTGACGAGAACAAGGTGAGGTGTAATTCATTTCCCTGTTTCTGTTGGTGACACCAGCAGGAAACACTGAAAACCAAAACACTCCTGTAGGCCCTCAGCATGGGCTGCCTCCTGCTCCTCACAAGGCACGGACAGGGGACAGGCCAGTGGGGCGGTCACTGGAAACCAGTCTGCACGGCCCATCACTCCCAGCTGCCTCAGGAGGTCTCTTTTCAGGTACTCAAAAGAAACAGTATTTGGAGCCTATAATAAAAAAGTTTGCTTTTTTATAATAAAAGAAGTTTGCTTTCATGAACATTTGTTACCCTAAGATTAATAATTTCTCTTGTTTGAATGTATATTGTATCTCTTAAGGAAGTTGCTCAGTGTTTGTTTATGGGTTTTGTCCCTGTACTTTAGGGGGGAAGATAACTGTCAATATTTTGCATTCCTTTCTCTTTTTGTGACAGTTCCCCTAATTAAATTTTTTCAAAATAAAATACATGTGAACATTTGCCATCTTTATTTATAGTCATCACTGGAAAAAATAGTTCCCTACCTGGTCAACTAAAATATATTAGGAATTATGTTTAGCTTTCTTTTTTTTTTTTTTTTTTAAGTTTTATTTTATTTATTTGAATGACAGAGTTACAGAGAGAGGTAGACATGGAGAGAGAGGTCTTCCATCCGTTGGTTCACTCCCCAGATGGCCACAACGGCCGGGGCTGCACCGATCGGAAGCCAGGAGCCAGGAGCTTCTTCCAGGTCTCCCACATGGGTGCAGGGACCCAAGGACTTGGGCCATCTTCTACTGCTTTCCCAGGCCATAGCAGAGAGCTGGATCGGAAGAGGAGCAGCTGGGACTAGAACCGGCGCCTATATAGGATGCCGGTGCTTCAGGCCAGGGCTTTAAGCCGCTGCGCCACAGCGCCGGCCCCTTAGCTTTCTTAATTTTTGAGAAGCAGTCTACAACGCTATGTATAACCTTTGTGATCTTAGACAAAATACTTGAGCATTCTATGATTTAAGTATTTTCATCTGTGTAATAACATAACATACATATTGGACCAACCTCATAATTGTTTTGTAAAGTGCTTAATATATTCCTTCTTACACTAAGTGGGGAATGTTAACCATTCTTTTACAGTGACATAAGAAGAAAGTTTTCTTTACAGTTAAAGTGAGCCGTGGCTCACTAGGCTAATCCTCTGCTTTGCAGCGCTGGCACACTGGGTTCTAGTCCCGGTCGGGGCGCTGCCGGTTGCCCCTCTCCCAGGCCAGCTCTTTGCTGTGGCCCGGGAGTACAGTGGAGGATGGCCCAAGTCCTTGGGCCCTGCACCCCATGGGAGACCAGGAGAAGCACCTGGCTCCTGCCATCGGATCAGCGCGGTGCACCGGCCGCAGCGGCCATTGGAGGGTGAACCAACGGCAAAAGGAAGACCTTTCTCTCTCTCTCTCTCTCACTGTCCACTCTGCCTGTCCAAAAAAAAAAAAAAAGTAAAGAATGAAAGAAGATCTTGTTGAACAACTTTGTGCGCTCGTTTGTAGGACATACCTTTTCAGCGTTAGAGCGAATACACTTTACAAAATACGGTTCTGCTTGACCAAGTGTCTCCATCAGTTTGCTTAAGGAGGCCTGCAATGCAAAGCATTGAATTAGCATATTCTCCCATTCAAAAGTGGCAACAAATGATTTATAAATATAAGTGATAATGTTGGCAAAACATGCAAAAACCTAGCACCAAACAGAGATTTGTTTCTACAAGGCCAATTGTGCATATTCCCATTATGCTTAATTAAAGCTGACAGCATAGCAACAGTAGATACTGCAGATGTGTTTCTAAGGACACTGTGTATACAATAATTGCTTCCTATTTCTTTACATTAGACAATTTTACTCAAGCTCATACATCCTAGAACAACATTGAAACTTTCACTCTAACATCTTAGGACCCTGCTTCTATTCCCAAGAATGCTCTTTTGCACCTTCATTTATCCTGATGAGTCTGGCCAGACATTTATCAGTTTTTGACATTTTCAAAGAATCTGCTTTTTGGTTTCACTGATTTTTCCTTCGTATTCTTCTGTTGTCAATTTCACTGAATGCAGCTGCTTTCTTTATTCCTTTCTCCTTGTTTTGGGATCAGCAAATCATTGTTTCCTTCCTCTCGGACTTATGTATTTGAATGTCATATACTCTGGTAAGTGCTCCACGTTTTCACCACACTTGAATATTTCACATTTGTTGATCTCCTGGCTTCAGGGCAACATCAGTATTGCTTTCTAGTGGCTACTCTAGGGGTTGCACTATACAGACCTGTCAGTGCTTTACAACCTCAAGTAAAACAACAGACCAGTGTCTGTTGTCAGACACATTACATCAACATACAAACTTTTTACTTTCAAGTGTTCTGCTTTCTTTTTATCTTAAAGACTTTTTTATTGGAAAAAAGTTACAGAAAGAGAGAGAGAGAAAGAAAAAAAAAAAGAGAGAGAGTTTTCCATCCATTGGTTCATTTCCCAAATGGCCCCAACAGCCAAGGCAGGGCCAGGCAGAAGCCAAGAGCCAGGAGCTTCTTCCAGATCTCCCACATGGGTGCAAGGGCCCAAGTATTTGGCCAGCTTTTGCTGCTTTCCAAGGCACATTAGCAGGGACTTGGATCAGAAGTGGAGCAGCTAGGACTCAAACCAGCAACCATGTGGGATGCTGACATCAGAGGCAGCAGCTTAGCCCGATATGCAACAACTCTGGCCCCTCTTGTTTCCTTTTTTCTTTTTTTTAATTTAATTTTATTTGACAGGTAGAGTTATAGACAGTGAGAGAGAGAGACAGAGAGCTAGGTCTTCATTCTGCTGGTTCACTCCCCAAATGGCCGCTACAGACGGCGCTGCGCCAATCCGAGTATTATTAATTAATTAATTAATACAGTTTGATAAATTTTTAAAAAATATTTATTTGAAAGGCACACTTATGGGGACAGGGGGTAGAATCTATCTTCAATTTATTTATTTGAATATTCAGAATAATATTTGAATATTCAGAATAAACTGTATATTTCTGTTTTAAAATTTTATTTCATGTATATTAGAATAACATTTATTAGAAAAAAAGAGGGGGCCAGCGCTATGGCTCACTTGGTTAATCCTTCGCCTGCGGCACTGACATCCCATATGGGTACTGGGTTCTAGTCCCGGTTGCTCCTGTTCCAGTCCAGCCCTCTGCTGTGGCCCAGGAGTGCAGTGGAGGATGGCCCAAGTCCTTGGGCTCTACACCCGCGTGGAAGACCAGGAGGAAGCACCTGGCTCCTGGCTTTGGATCAGCACAGCACCAGCTGTAGCGGCCATTTGGGGGGTGAACCAATGGAAAAAGGAAGACCTTTCTCTCTGACTCTCTCTCATTATCTAACTCTGTCAAAAAAAAATTCATCTGTAATGTTTCATGTATTCCACATACACATCCTTCTTCAGATGCATTAAGGGATGAGGGTAATTCAAAAGTTCATAGAAATGGAATTAGAACGCAGGTTTATTTTGGTGCAAAAATTCTTGAAACTTGTGCATATGAAAGATCTTAAAAAATTTCGTTGAAAATTTCAGCACTGTGGCACAGCAATTCAGGCCACCACCTGGGACACCAGCATCGCACATAGGCACCGGTTCAAGTCCTAGCAGCTCCACTTCCAATCCAGCTTCCTGCTACTATGCCTTGAAAAACAGCAGCAGATGACCAAAGTGCTTGGGCCCCTACATCCATGTGGAAGACAAGGAGGGAGTGTCAGGCTACTGGTTTCAGCCTGGCCCAGCCATGGCCATTACAGCCATCTGGGGAGTGAACCAGTCGATGGATGAGCTCTCTCTTCTTCCCTCTCCCTCCCTGCCTCCTTTCTTCTCTCCTTCTCCCTCTCTCTCTGCAGTTCAACCTTTCAAATAAATAAATACGTTTGGCTGGCGCCGCGGCTCACTAGGCTAATCCTCCGCCTGCGTCGCAGACACACTGGGTTCTAGTCCTGGTCGGGGCGCCGGATTCTGTCCTGGTTGCCCCTCTTCCAGGCCAGCTCTCTGCTGTGGCCCGGGAAGGCAGTGGAGGATGGCCCAAGTGCTTGGGCCCTGCACCCGCATGGGAGACCAGGAGGAGGCTCCTGGCTCCTGGCCTCGGATCGGCGCAGCGCTCCGGCCGTAGTGGCCATTTGGAGAGTGAACCAACGGAAGGAAGACATTTCTCTCTGTCTCTCTCTCTCACTGTCTGTAAACTCTACCTGTCAAGTAAGAAAAAAAAAAAAAAGATTAAAAGAGAAAATTTATCCTTTATGTTTAGCTACATTTCTATCATCCTGACATCATCTCTTTTGTTGAGACACAGATTTTCTCGCACCATCCCTCTATGTGTAACATTTTTGATGCTGTAGAACCTCCTCTTATCTGAGAACGTCTCCTTCATGTTAAAGGACATACTCACTACACACAGAACTCAGTCTCATGCAGCTAGCACTGTCTCCCCTGTCTGCTGATGGGAACTGCTGAGAAAGCTGCAGTCACTGAAGAGATCCTGCTCCCCTCACTGTCTTTATGGTCCTCCCCACAACCGACTTCAGCAATCTGCCATGACGAGCTTCACAGGGCTCTGATTCTTCTGTGTGAGATTCTCTGATATAAACACACTTATACGTAAAACATATACTTATTATCAAATCAGCACAAATATTTTGGTGCTATTTCTTCAAATGTATTCTTCAATAGCTTTTCTTTCTTCTCTTTGAGATGCCAACTACCACAAGTATACCACTTGATACACCTGGTAAATGACTCACAAGTTGCTGACATATTTTCATTTCTTTTTTCTTAGTTGTCTCTCTCTGGGCTTTACATTAAAAGTAAATATGAGGGACCGGCTCTGCAGTACAGTGGGCTAAGCCTAAACCTGCAGCGCCAGGCATCCCATACGGGTGCCAGTTCAAGTTCTAGCCGCTGCTCTTCAAACACAGCTCCCTGATAAGGCCTGGGAAAGCAGTGGAAGATGACCCAAATGCTTAGGTCCCTGCACCTATGTGGGAGACCCAGAGGAAGCTCTTGGCTTCAGATCAGCCCAGCTCTGGCCATTGCAGCCATTTGGGGAGTGAACCAGCAGATGAAGACCTTCCTGTCTCTCCCTTTCTCATCTGTAACTCTACCTCTCAAATAAATAAACAGAATCTTAAAAAAGTAAATACGAGCACAAATCACTGGTGAACTATCTAATAGATGTTAATCCCACATAGTTTATTTTTATTGCCATACATTACATCTTTAATCCTTTTTTTTTTTTTTAATTTGAAAGAATAACACAGAGAGAAAAGGAGAGGCAGAGAGAGAGAGCAAGAGGTCTTCCATCTGCTGGTTCATTCCCCAGAAGGCCGCAACAGCTGGAGCTGCACTGATCCAAAGCCAGGAGGTCCTGGTCTCCAGGTTTCCCACATGGGTGCAGGGGACCAAGGACTGGGGCCATCTTCCACTGCTTTCCCAGGCCATAGCAGAGAGCTGGATCGGACCTGGAGCAGTTGGGACTCAAACCGGTGCCCATATGGGATCCCGGCACTGCAGGCGGCGGCTTTACCCCCCATGCCACAGAGCCCGCCCAATGCTTTCATTTGTGATTAAGACACACATTCACAGGAAGGGCAGAGTCAGAAACACCTGGATCCCATCCAATCCTACCACCTGTAATTTCCTCACCTGTGTAGGAAGAGAAATAGTAGTTCTTTTTAAGATGTAATTAATTATTATTTGAAAGGCAGTTACAGAGAGGCAGAGAGAAAGAGTGCGGAGGTTGGGGGTGGTCTTCCATCCATTGAGTCACTCTTCAAATGGCCTCAATGGCTGGAGCTGCACCAATCTGAAGCCAGGAGCCAGGAGCTTATTCTGGATCTCCTACGTGGGTGCAGGGGCCCAAGCACTTGGGCCATCTTTCACTGCTTTCTCAGGCCATAGCAGAGGGCTGGATCAGAAGTGGAGCAGCCGGGACCTGAACCGGCACCCATATGGGATGCCAGCACTGCAGGTGGAGGCTATACATGCTAGGCCACAGCACCAGCCCCAGAGAGATAGTATTTATCTTGGAGAATGCTTGGTGGAAAACTTAGATAATACATATATGTAAATATTCAGAAGTCACATGGAAAATACAGAAAACTGGTCATTATCTCTGTGTGCTAGATGATTCTGTTTTGCTCATTTATATTTTCTAAATCAGATAGTAACTCTTTTACAATAATATGACAATCTATTAGAAAAATAAAGATGACCCTTTCTGAAAAATTAAATATGATATATGAGTATCACCATTTAAGGAATTCTTGAGTTTGGGGGAATTTTAAAGGTTATGAATGGTACTGTGATTATGACTAATGTTTACTATAGTAGATATATGATACTCTTCAGATTAAGGAATGATGCTGTTTTCTAAAGCACCTGTAATAATATCAAGGTAACCAAACAAAGGGCATGCAACAGCTTCAGGATCTTTCTCATCATAATCATCATACCAATGACTCTCTTACAGATACCTATCTTACCCTTCAATCAGAATCTGACTACCTACGGTGATCTGCTGATCAAGGGAGACTTTGTTAACTGTCAATGACCTAACAATTGTTTCAGGTCTGCATATTCATATTTATCTTGTGTATTATTAAGCTTTGATTCTGTTTTACACAGCAGTGTTTACCAATCAACAGTATTTTTTTCTGCTACAATCATTCATTTTTGAATTTTTAAGTATACAACATGAAGCTAGACTTCAAGGAATGTGATGACAGTACTAAGGCAAAGGCAGACCTGTCCAAGCACCATTTCTTATTCTTCTCACTTTACAATCAAATACCATTAACCCCTAAGATACTCCTATTATTAATTAAGAAGGATATTTTGAATTCATGGCAGAGATTTTGATATGGCCAGGCAGAGAGTGAGGAACAAAGGAGATGAGAGGCTTCCAGCGGTTTCTGTGCCTTAGCCTTGCACCACTAAAAAAAAACTCGAATCCTTCCATAATTCAGCACACCTGCTTTCTCATAATGTACCTGAGCCTCCTCCATCATGAAGAGGCCATGATGAACACATGTGTACTAAATTCACAAGCAGAAGCCATAAAACCTGCCCAGTGATCACCACATATGCTGACTCCCTTCCAAACTCTATCCTATTTGTATAATCAATTAAGGAACCACTCTCTACCCAATAAAGGGGACAACTGAATTGAGTGGCACACAATGAGACTGCCACATTCACATCTGAATGTGTACTACCTCTTTTATTTAAGTAAATCCTGTTCCCACTAGTGCACTTTATCTATGTCTCTGCTTTCAATCCCCCTCCTACGTGGAAACAACAGCTTGTAATAAATACAGCTGGAGAACCCCACCCCCACAAAAATTTCACCATACTCACCTGGCTCTTCTTTGAGCTTATTAACACAGCCTTCAAGGATTTAAGGTTTTCTGTAGGTATATGGTAAGGATCATCGACAACAGAACAGCAATACTAGCCTACAGTTTGAAGGACTGTGCTTAAAACTCAAACAGGATCACATGCAATGACATGGTAGTAGATACTGCATGGTCACACATCCTGGCTTACAGTGAGCATTGAAAAGTATGAGGGTAACTTCAAAAAGTTAATAAAAAATATAAACAAAGGTAGTTTTACTTTGGTGCAAAAATTGTTTGAAATCCAAGCAGTTTTCTTGTAATACTCATTTTTCCAGAAACTTTTTGAAGACCCTCATTATCTTGAAAATTTTTCTCAAAGTTACTTGGTTAAAGGACTAGATTTCTGTATATACAAAGTTAAAATTAATACACACCAAGAGCCTACCTACAATACCACCTATATAGGGCTAACAGCAACATGAGATTTAAGTAGGGAAAAACCAACAACACTATGCGGACTCTGACCATATCTGGGTAGCAGGCCTTAAAAAATAAATAAATAAACTTCAATTACTATCTGGACACTGAATCTGCGCAGCAGGGTTTCAAAGAAGATTTTGCAGGGGCCGGCACTGTGGCGTAGGGGTAAAGCCGCCGCCTGCAGTGCCGGAATCTCGTATGAGTGCCACTTTGAGTCCCAGCTGCTCCACTTCTGATCCAGCTCTCTACTATGGCCTAAGAAAGCAGCAGAAGATGGCCCAACTCCCGAGGCCCCCACACCCTTGTGGGAGACCAGGAAGAAGCTCCTGGCTCCTGGCTTCCAACTGGCACAGCTCCCGCTGTTGCAGCCAACTGGGGAGTGAACCAGTAGATGGAAGACCTCTCTCTCTGTCTCTGCCTCTCCTTCTCTGTCTCTGTGTAACTCTTTCAAAAAAAAAAATATTTTTAAAAAATAGATAAGGAAAAGATATTACTTATTTAAAAAGAAAGATTTTGCTTATATTATCCATTTTCTGCTCCCTTTCTCCTTCCAATGAAAACAATGAATCATTCTTCAGGAAATCCACTACTCAGAAATAATCTAGATGGAAAACAAAGGCAGCTGGCTTTTTCGCATGTCTGGTACTTCTCTCCAAACACGGTTTTAGTCATGTGCATTGTACTGCACTCGAGGCCCCTGGAGACTGATCTGGTCTCTCAATGACCAGCAGAAGAGATGCACGCTTGTCTGGCATAAGCATTCAGGGAATGACCTGGAACTGGGCGCTGATGCTCGGAGGCTTCTTCTTCTTGTGCAGATGCAGCAGGGACTTGGTTATGCGGTCCTGCAGAGTCAGACTTGTCAGGTGCTTCAGAGAGCTGACCTCCAACAAGTGCTGAGAAGAGAAAAAATAAATTCTTAACATTAACTAATTTAAAATGAGAAAAACAAAATGTCCAGCCCATTTTCATCGCTTCCTCTCCACAAAACCCTTACTATTTCACATAACTGTGATGGACATGAAACACTGATATTCAACACACATTCTACTCTCCTTCTACCTTCCTTCAGAAGCCAGAAAGTTAAAACAAAGGGGCCTGCAGTGCCGGCATCCCATATGGGCACTGATTTGAGTCCTGGCTGCTCCACTTCAATTCCAGCTACCTGCAAATGTGCCTGGGGAAGCAGTGGGAAATGGCCCAAGTCTTTGGGCCCCTGAACCTGCCTGGGAGACCCTGAAGAAACTTCTGGCTCCTGGCTTGGCTTTACAGCAGCCCAGCTCCAACTGTTTCAGCCATCTGGGGAGTGAACCAGCGGATGGAAGACTTCTCTCTAACTGTCTCTGTAACTCTTTCAAATAAATGAAATAAATCATTTTAGAAAAGGAAGGAAGGGAGGGAGGGAGGGAGAAAGCTAAAACAAAACATTTCCCAAACTTTTGCACCCAGAGTTCTTGATGTGACTTAAGTTCACCAATCAAATGTTTACATGTGAAATTCGGAAAGCCTAACTGAGGCAGAGGCTCCGGCTGCTGGTTTTGTTTTTCTGACACAAAGGCACACAAAGGCACTTTAGTTTTCTGCAGTCCCAGCTCCAGCCATTAGCTTTCATGAGTGCTCATATGCAGAATACAGGGCATTTCTGTTGCCACCACAGCTACAGCAAACACAGCTTGGCCCTGATATGCAAAGGCAGCTGTTAGTGAGCAACTAGGAGCTGAGAGACTGCCAGCAGTCTCTGGGCCACAGCCATGCACAGCCAAAACTGCACCCCAACATGGTTAACAGGCTTGGCACGTGCAGTCTACAGCATGTACCTGAGCCTCTCTTCCTGTCGCCACACAAAAGATGTCGTGCCAACCACATGTATGCTGCACCAGACGTGGAGACACCAAGATATCTTCCTGGAGATCACCACGTGCACTGAAGTCCCATCCAAACTCAGCCCCATTTGGTTATTCAATTAGGGCAGCAAGTTCTACCCTAACAGGGGTGGGAACCTTTTTTCTGCCAAGGGACATCAGGATACTTATAATGTCATTGTGGGGCACACAGAATTATCAACCTAAAAATCAGCCTGCTATATAGAGTTAGAGAATCGGGCCAGACCAAATGATTTCACTAACCTTATGTGCTCCATGGGCTAGACATTAACTCCCACGCAGGGATGACCCACTCTCTTCTCACGGAGAGCGGCTGCCTGTACTCAACACCTGTCTGAGTGTACTTTCCTTTTAAATAAGTCCTACCACCCTGCAGCTCTGCTGACATTCTGCTTTGAATTCTTGTCTGACTCCAAGACAGAGGACTCCATCCTCTACAACAGCCCTGGAGCAAACAGCTGCCGCAGCTTCTTGCAGAGCTCGGGACCCTCCCCCAGGTGCTCTGTGCTGGGAGAGCAGCTGCACCGGCAGCACCGCCCCTTTCTGTCCTCCCACTCCCACCTAGGTCAGGTCTGCAGTGCTGCTCTAGGCTCCAGCTGAGGCTTCCGAGGTACTGCAAGCATCTTTGAATGAGGTCCTACTGTACAGTGATTCCTGTTATCGCCAGTTGAATCCTAACTCAGAGACAATCAAGTAAAATCCCAGGACTCTAGAAGGATTGCCAGTAACATAGAAGCAACCACAGCACAGGGTCCAGCCACGTTCACCACAATGTGCTACTCTAAGTTAACCAAAAGACAGGAGAAAACACACAAAGCAACTAATATGTACAAAACAGGACAGTAAAAAGGTATTTAGGAGCTTTTTAAGGAAATCACAATTTTTCAAACTGTACTATATTTATGGCAATGAGTTTATAAATGCAACAAACATCTGTACAGATGTAAAACTGTATGTTATTTAACAAGAAGTCTTACAAAAACCAAAAGATTGTGTTAACATGACACATTAAGTCTAAAGATGCTAACAATATAAGAATTAAAAGAGTATAGCACATGTTTAAATTGGAACTAAGAAAATACTACTTCTAACAAATGACATAGGCTTATTATCTGTACATAAAAATAACTTTAAATAATCCTGAAAAGAATACATAATAAAAAAAAATTAGAATAGGATCTGACCGGAAATTCTCAAATGAAGTAAAAAAAAACTGCAAGGAGCATGACAACAATCATTCAATCTCACTTGTACTGTAACAGACATTCCCTTTCTTTTTTTTTTTTAACTTTTATTTAATGAATATAAATTTCCAAAGTACAGCTTATGGATTACAATGGCTTCCCCCCCATAACGTCCCTCCCACCCACAACCCTCCCCTTTCCCACTCCCTCTCCCCTTCCATTCACATCAAGATTCATTTTTGATTCTCTTTATATACAGATCAGTTTAACATACATTAAGTAAAGATTTCAACAGTTTGCTCCCACACAGAAACATAAAGTGAAAAATAATAGGTGATTTTTTAAATGATGATGAAATCAGATCAGACCTACAGACACTCCCTTTCAAAGAGAATTTTTTTTTTTTTTTTTTTTTTTTTTTTTTTTTGACAGGCAGAGTGGACAGTGAGAGAGAGAGAGACAGAGAGAAAGGTCTTCCTTTGCCGTTGGTTCACCCTCCAATGGCCGCCGCGGCTGGCGCGCTGCGGCCGGCGCACCGCGCTGATCCGATGGCAGGAGCCAGGAGCCAGGTGCTTTTCCTGGTCTCCCATGGGGTGCAGGGCCCAAGCACCTGGGCCATCCTCCACTGCACTCCCTGGCCACAGCAGAGGGCTGGCCTGGAAGAGGGGCAACCGGGACAGAATCCGGCGCCCCGACCGGGACTAGAACCCGGTGTGCCGGCGCCGCTAGGCGGAGGATTAGCCTAGTGAGCCGCGGCGCCGGCCTCAAAGAGAATTTTTACATTTTGGACTCGAAATGCAATAAAGACTGACAAAAGCAAGGATTCAGGAGGATCTAGGGAAATAGGCATCCATGCTGATAGGTGCTGCTATTAAGAATGCAAGTTAATACCACCTTCTTTTTTTTTTTTTTTTTTTTTTTTTTTTTTGACAGGCAGAGTGGACAGTGAGAGAGAGACAGAGAGAAAGGTCTTCCTTTGCCGTTGGTTCACCCTCCAATGGCCGCCACGGCTGCCGCGCTGCGGCCGGCACACCGCGCTGATCCGATGGCAGGAGCTAGGAGCCAGGTGCTTCTCCTGGTCTCCCATGGGGTGCAGGGCCCAAGCACCTGGGCCATCCTCCACTGCACTCCCGGGCCACAGCAGAGAGCTGGCCTGGAAGAGGGGCAACCGGGACAGAATCCGGCGCCCCAACCAGGACTAGAACCCGGTGTGCCGGCGCCGCTAGGCAGAGGATTAGCCTAGTGAGCCGCGGCGCCGGCCACCTTCTTTTTTTTTTTTTTTAAGATTTATTTTATTTATTTGAAAGTCCGAGTTACACAGAGAGAGGAGAGGCAGAGAGAGAGAGGTCTTCCATCCGATGGGTTACTCCCTAAATGGCCGCAACGGCCAGAGCTGCGCTGATCCAAAGCCAGGAGCCAGGAGCCTCCTCCAGGTCTCCCATGCGGGTGCAGGGGCCCAAGAACTTCAACCATCCTCTACTGCTATCCCAGGCCATAGCAGAGAGCTGGATCAGAAGTGGAGCAGCCAGGACTAGAACCAGCGCCCATATGGGATGCCGGCACCTCAGGCCAGGGCTTTAACCCGCTGTGCCATAGCGCTGGTCCCAATACCACCTTCTTGACAATCATTTTCACTTCAAAGTGTTATTTCTAAAAAGATCACCAAATTGGCCGGCACCGCAGCTCAATAGGCTAATCCTCCACCTTGTGGCGCCAGCACACCGGGTTCTAGTCCCGGGCAGGGCGCCGGATTCTGTCCCGGTTGCCCCTCTTCCAGGCCAGCTCTCTGCTGTGGCCCGGGAGTGCAGTGGAGGATGGCCCAGGAGCTTGGGCCCTGCACCCCATGGGAGACCAGGAGAAGCACCTGGCTCCTGCCTTCGGATCAGCGCGGTGCACCGGCCGCGGCGGCCATTGGAGGGTGAACCAACGGCAAAAAGGAAGACCTTTCTCTCTGTCTCTCTCTGTCACTGTCCACTCTGTCAAAAAGAAAAAAAAGAAAAAAAGATTACCAAACAAGTTCTCTAAATTGTTAACAAGTTCTCTAAATTGTTTATGCCAATGTACTTCAAAAAATAGTGAAAAGTTGTGAATAAGAGAGATATGTAATGATATGAAATTCTTTAAGTATGTTTCATGCATACAACTAAATACTATACTGCTCAGGGCCAGTGCTGTGGCATAGCAGGTAGGGCTGCCGCCTACAGTGCTGGCATCCCATATGGGCACCGGTTTGAGTCCCAACTGCTCCAGTTCCGATCCAGCTCTCTGCTATTGCCTGGGAAAGCAGTTGAAGGTGGCCCAGGTCCCTGGGCCCCTTCACCCACATGGGAAGAACTGGAGGAAGCTCCTGGCTTCAGTCTGGCCCAGCCCTGGCTGTTGCAGCCATCTGGGGAGTGAGCTAGCGAATGGAAGACCTTTCTCTCTCTCTCTCTCTCTCTCTCTCTCTCTTTCTCTCTCTCTCTCTCTCTCTCTCTGCCTCTCCTTCTGTCTCTGTGTAACTCTGACTTTCAAATAAATAAATAAATCTTAAAAAAAAATACTATACTAACAGAGATACTGGAAAACACTTGCAAACACTAACACTAAAAAGAGCAATGTAACATAACATACACAAAGCAAGATGGACTCTGTTCATGAACTTTGGCAGGCTTCTACTATATTATTGCTGAATTTTCACAATACAGTTCATTGTACATTCATAAAAAATGTGTACATGTTGATCAAGATTAAAATACAATAATTTATAGTTATATTTATAGTTATATTTAAGTGAAAAACAAATCAGCACTGAAGCCACATGGTTTTTTACTCCCCCAAAGATTTAAGATA